GTGCCAGCCCACTAGGACCCCTGCCCTTCAGTCCTCCGCGGCCTAGTCTCCCCCGGAGAATAGCCGCAATAACAGCTACATCCCCCAGCAACCACTGAGCACAAAATTACATGGATCCCAAGAGGCTACAGCTCGGTGTGTGGCCACGCCATGCCACGCCACGCCACGCCCCATGCCGGCCCAGGGAGTGGTGGTCCTCCCGAGGTCTCAGCTCACCGGGAGTGGCTGGCTGGCACAGACCTCTGCAGAGATGCCAGGGCCTGCAGGATGCTCTCCTGGGGGACACAGTGGCCTGGAGACTTCTGGATGAAGTGCAGCAGCACCTTGCCACCACCTGTGACAGCAGGCAGGCGGTCAGGGCGCCCTGAAAGCTGGCCTGTGCTTCGCACCCCAGTGCCAAGAGGAGGAAGGCAGTCTGGCCAGCTGAGCCCAGTGGCCCTGCATGCCCTGACCCCCACCCAATTACCGAGATGGGAGATGTGCCCCCAGCCAACACTTGGGTCATAGCACAAAGAAGTTGTGAGGGGGTGAGCGTGCCAGCGAGAGAGAACAGGGCCTGGCTGCCACGTTCAGCAAGCCTTCCCGCTGAGGCCGCAGCCCCCAACCCCTACCCCAACACACCTTTGCTGACCACCGGCAGCCCTCCACTCTGCAGAAGGTCCCCAGACAGGTTCCTCTGGGCCTTGGCCTGTGTGGAGAGGGCCAGGGCCAAGGCTGGCCACAGAGAAAAACCTTCAGAGGCTCCCACCACCCCAATCCTGTATGGCCTTGGGGACTACAAACCTTGGCGGCCACATCACACACGGGCTTTCCCGGGGCGGGTGGCAGAATGCTCAAGCTATTGTACCTGCAGAAACACCAGTTCCCCTGGTCCAGACTGGAGTGGAGCCCAGTCCCCACGCCACAGACCAGTTCCAGATCAGGCCCTGCCCCACCCATGCATCTCAGCATGCAGCTAGTCCCCCAGGAGCGGTTCCTGGGGTCTTGGGGCTCCCCACCTGGGTACTGGCTGCTGGCCTAGGGTCCGGCAAAGGATGCAGGGTATGGGAACCAGGCCCTGGGCTGAGTGGAACCAGAGATCTGGCCCAGCTGGTGCTGCCAATCACAGCGGGCAGCCTATGATTTCCAGAAGGCTCAGACTATATTCTTGTCTGCTTAGAGTAGACTATAGCTGCTGAGAAGCCTGTTGGGGACCCCCACCGGAGGACGCACAGAAGGGCTGCCAATGACGCCGGCACTGGCTTCCCTGGGGAAGACGGGGTGGACAGGTGGGTGATGAGGAGTAAGAAGTAGAGGCCATCGTCCCGCGCCATGCCCATGCTGCCCCACACACACACACACCGCTTGAAGCCCAACTCTTTGTAGAGCTGCTTGCTCTCATCCAGGTAGAGCTCTGGAAAGAAAAGCCACAGTCCTGGGTCACCAGGGCCCCTGGCAGCCCGCCCACACCAGGAGGGCC